TGCTGGTTCTTCCCCTCACTGCTACCTTTACCAGTCTGCAACCCAAGTCCAGTGGGAGTAGCTTTACATTACCTATTTTGGGTTACTTTAGGATCTACCTATCCACTAATCTGCCCATCTGCCCTATTCTTATGCATATTTTTTATATTCAAAGGCACAGAGTACTTTAAAAAGTTCCTGAGTGGGCCAGGTAGAGTGGCTTATACCTGTAATCCCAGCACTTTGGGAGGCCGAGGCATGTGGATCATGAGGTCAGGAGTTTGAGATTAACCTGGCCAAGATGGTGAAACCCTGTCTCTACTAAAAATACAAAAATTAGCTGGGTGTGGTGGCATGAGCCTATAATCCCAGGCTGAGTCAGGAGAATCACTTGAACCCGGGAGGAAGAAGTTGCAGTGAGCTGAGATCGCACCACTGCACTCTAGCCTGAGCAAGACTCTGTCTCAAAAAGAAAAAAAAAGTTCCCAAGTGACTGAATGTGCCCTAACTTTCCCAGGTAGACCATGGGTTCATCCTTCTTTTGTTTTCCCCTTTCAGTGCCTAAAATGAGTGCCCACCCCAAGTTACTGGGTGATGGCAACTACTAGGATACACTAGAGATAGAAGTATAAGATTCGGAGCCAGGACAGATACCAGCAGACTAAGAAAGTGAAATTAGAGACTGGGTGCAGTGGCTCACACCTGTAATCCCAGCACTTTGGGAGGCTGAGGCCTCTTGATCATGAGGTCAAGAGATCAAGACCATCTTGCCAACATGGTGAAACCCCGTCTCCACTAAAAACACAGAAATTAGCTGGACGTGGTGGCATGCACCTGTAGTCCCAGCTACTCGGGAGGCTAAGGCAGGAGAATCACTTGAACTGGGGAGGAGGAGGTTGCAGTGAGCTGAGATCGTGCCACTGCACTCCAGCCTGGCAACAGAGTAAGACTCTGCCTCAAAAAAAAAAGAAGAAGAAGGAGAAAGAAAGGAAAAGAAAACGCCGGGCGCGGTGGCTCAAGCCTGTAATCCAGCACTTTGGGAGGCTGAGGCGGGTGGATCACGAGGTCGAGAGATCGAGACCATCCTGGTCAACTTGGTGAAACCCCGTCTCTACTAAAAATACAAAAATTAGCTGGGCATGGTGGTGCGTGCCTGTAATCCCAGCTACTCGGGAGGCTGAGGCAGGAGAATTGCCTGAACCCAGGAGGCGGAGGTTGCGAGATTGTGCCATTGCACTCCAGCCTGGGTAACAAGAGTGAAACTCTGTCTCAAAAAAAAAAAAAAAAAGAGAAGAAAAGAAAACAAGAAAGTGACGAATTAGAAAGGAAACTGGAGAGAACTGAGAATTACTTGGGCCTGGGAGGTCAAGGCTGCAGTGAGCCAAGATTGCGCCACTGCATTCCAGTCTGGGCAACAGAGTGAGACCCTGTCTCAAAAAAAAGAGACTGGAGAACTAAGAATAGAAAAAAGGAGAGAAGAGAAGATACTAAACAAAGAAAGGAAAGGATTGAGGGGAAGAGACAAAACAGAAAGGAAGAGGCGACAGCAACATAGGGCCTCAAACTAAGTGTGAATCAGCACTTCAAGGCTGGGACTAAAATAGGCAACCGGATCCAGGGTTCTATAAACTACAGAGAACTGGGAAACTGATAATTCTGCTGTATCCTGGCCAAGGCCCAGTCTGTTAGTGTGGCCTATGAGAAGGCAAAGGGGGAACTGAAAGGGGAAGGCTAAAAAGGATGAGAATCAGCTTTTCATGTCAATCACTGAAGACCAGACAAGAGGGACTAGGGTATTAAACATTGCAGAAGGAGAAACTGGCTGAGACAGACCCTGGAATTGGCAGGCTCAGCAGAGGCCTCTAGAACACCGCATGTGCTGTAAGAGGCTGAGTCTGTTCCCATCCCAGTTCTACCACTGAGGAGCTGGGTGACTTTAGGCAAGTCGTCAGCCCTTTCTGTGACTCAACTTCACTATCTACTTAACTTCTAAGGGTGTTTCTTCTCTAACACTACATGATTTGGTGACCATCAATTTCAGTTTGCAAGATATTGGCACTAAACAGAGTTTCTTAGGAGCCAGTGGCTGGGTTGCATTGCTGTGGATGCCATGTAGTCCTGGGAGGGACACAGGTATTGGCCTCCTTCTGCTAGTGACATACTTAGCATTGCCATCTACCTCAGCGTTCCTGCAGTACTGCTATTCTCCGTGCTTCTCCCCAGTCTTCCCCATCCAATATCAAGTCCTTCCATTTTTGTCACCCTGTCTCTTCCAGGACATCACCAAAGCTAAATCCAAAATAAACCCTAATCACCTGGCTGGGTACGATGGTTAATACCTATAATCCCAGCACTTTGGGAGGCTGAGGCAGGTGGATTGCCTGAGCTCAGGAATTCCACATTAGTCTGGGTAGCCAGGAGTGGTGGCGGGCACACACCTTAGTCCCAGCTACTTGGAAGGCTCAGGTGAGAGGATCACTTGGGCCTGGGAGGTAGAGGCTGCAGTGAGTCCCGATGGCACTGCTGTACTCCAGCCTGGGCAACAAAGCAAGACCCTGCCTACAAACAAACAAACCAACCAACCCTGATCACCTATTGCCAGAAAATGTTGTATCCATCTCTATAAATGAATTAATCACAATGTATTATAATCACCTGATTACCACCTATCTCCATCTCCAGACTTTAAGCATCTTTATATATATACTTATTTATTAATATTTATTCTTTATTTATTGAGTGAGGGTCTCACTCTTTGCCCAGGCTGGAATGCAGCGGCACCATCAAGGTTCACTGCAGCCTCTGTCTCCCCTGGCTCAGGTGATCCTCCCACCTTGGCCTCCCTGTAGCTGGGACTACAGGTGTGTGCCACCATGCCCAATTATTTTTTGTATTTTTAGCAGAGACAAGATCTTGCTATGTTGCCCAGGTTAGTCTCAAACTCCTGGGCTCAAGCAATCCACCTTCCCTGGCCTCCTAAAGTGTTGGGATTACAGGCATGAGCCATGGCACCTGGCCAGACTTTAAGCATTTTTTTTTTTTTTTTTTTTTTTTTTTTTTGAGAAGGAGTCTCGCTGGCTCTGTGCCCAAGTTGGAGTGCAGTGGTGTAATCTTGGCTCACTGCAACCTCTGCCTCCTGGATTCAAGCGATTCTCCTGCCTCAGCCTCCCAAGTAGCTGGGACTACAGGTGTACATGGCCATGTCTGGCTAATGTTTTGTATTTTAGTAGAGACAGGGTTTCACTGTGTTACCCAGGCTGGTCTCGAACTCCTGAGCTCAGGCAATCCACCTGCCTTGGCCTCCCAAAGTGCTATGATTATAGACGTAAACCACTGCCCCGACCTGACTTTAAGCATCTTTTTTATTTTTTTGAGACTGAGTTTCGCTCTTGTTACCCAGGCTGGAGTGCAATGGCACGATCTTGGCTCACTGCAACCTCTGCCTCCTGGGTTCAGGCAATTCTCCTGCCTCAGCCTCCTGAGTAGCTGGGATTACAGGCACGCACCACCATGCCCAGCTAATTTTTTGTATTTTTGTAGAGACGGGGTTTCACCATGTTGACCAGGATGGTCTCGATCTCTTGACCTCGTGATCCACCCGCCTCGGCCTCCCAAAGTGCTGGGATTACAGGCTTGAGCCACCGCGTCCGGCTGACTTTAAGCATCTTAATGTCAGGGACTGCATTTTATTCCTCTGTAGTTTCAGAGCACCCAGCAATGCCTGCCACGCAGTTGACCTTGAGTGCAGTAATGACTGTTTTGGGGAAAGAACAGGAACACAATAGCATACAAGGGCTTGTGATTTTGTGTCAGGTTGTATCTTCCCCCTCCACTCCTTAAGAAGTGTTATTTTGACCTTCTTCCCTTCCTTGAGGAAATTTTACCTGCCCTGTAAAATCTGAATACGTGGTTCCTCCAAGCCTGGCATACTGATCTCCAGCTATCCCCTCAAACAAGTCAGGGAGGAATTTCTTGGAGAACTTTTCCCTAGAGAAATAATAGTTGTCATCTCAACAGCCCCACCCCGCTTTGCACAATCTGTGGCTGCGTTCACATTCTGCCTCCATCCAGTACACTGTACTCCGACTAGAAAAACCTGCTCCCTATCCCCAGCATGGGCGTCCATACTCTCCTCCTCAGCCTTTTTTCAATGCGGTCCTTCCCTGGCCTAAGAACCAGACCCCCACCCCGTTTCTATCTCCAGTTCAGTTTGTTGTTGTTGTTGTTGTTGTTGTTGTTGTTGAGATGGAGTGTCACTCTGTCACCCAGGCTGGAGTGCAGTGGCTTGATCTCGGCTCACTGCAACCTCAGCCTCAGGGTTCAAGCAATTCTCTTGCCTCAGCCTCCTGAGTAGCCGGGACTGCAGGTGCCCACCACCACGCCCGGCTAATTTTTGTATTTTCAGTACAGACATGGTTTCACACCATCGGTCAGGCTGGTCTCGAACTCCTGACCTCAGGCGATCCACCCACCTGGGTCTCCCAAAGTGCTGGGATTACACCATGCCCGGCCCCGTTCCCCCCTTTCAAAGCCGCATGGACGGTCCTGCCCGTTTTCTGCACTCTAGCCCTATCAGCTCCAGGCTTAGAGCCTACACTGCAACCTGGAGCAAGAAACGCAGTTTAACGGCGGCCTCGCATGCATATCCTCAGAACCTAAACGCGTTTCCATACTGTAAGTCCTGTCGCTGAGTGGAACGCACACCATTGTCTACCCTGCGGCCGCGGTTACTTTCCAGTGCTCACTGTGTTGGGAACTGGCTTTCCGGAGCGAACGAGTCTCGGCCCATTGCGGAGGACCCGGTTCAGCGAGGCCGAGGTTCCGGGCCAGGGCTGGAGATCCGATGCCGGCCTCGAGCGAGCGCCGCCTGAGGGCAGGCCCCGTCCCGCCCCTCCGAGCCGGGCTGCCCCGGCCGCCCTGGGGAGGACGGCGTTAGGCCGCAGGGCGGGCCTCGGGGCTGGCAGGGGGCGGCCAGGGGTGGCGCAGGGCCTGGGGTGGCGCAGGGCCGGGGCCGGATGCGAGGCATGCCGGGAGCCCGCACTTCCTCTTCGGGGGCCTCAGAAAACCACAGGGCGCGGGGCCAGGCGGCGGCCCCCGGGGAGCCGGCAGGATGGCAGAGGGCAAGGCGGGCGGCGCGGCCGGCCTCTTCGCCAAGCAGGTGCAGAAGAAGTTCAGCAGGGCCCAGGAGAAGGTAGGCGGCCGGGCCTCGCCGTCTGTCCGGCCCTCAGGGAGCCAAGGCACAGGCCCGGTGGGCAGGAGGGGCGGGCGGGGCGCTCAGGGGCCCCGAAAGGCCTGGGCGGACGAGTAGGGTCTCCCGCTCTTCCTGGGAAACGGGAGTGGGGAGTGGGCTTCCATGAAAATTGGCAGATTGGAGAGAGAACGGAGACAGCCACCCGATCTTAGGCAAGAATGAGGGTGGCTGGGGAGACCACGGTCTCTGGCAGAACCTTCGACGACTCTCAGGCTGACCCAGGAAAGGTGAAAGAAAGGAACTGACGACGGTGGCCACCTTTGATTCAAGTTTTGTCCTAGCAATCCAGAATTGGTATTTTACAGCTGATGAAACTGGAGAGTGATTTTCCTCAGAGGGTAATTTTCCCAGTCAAAGACAGCGATGCAGCGGGTGCCAGGGTGCACCCTCTCTTAGCTTGGACGGGGAGTCCACCGAAGGCTAGAATAATCCTTCGTAGTTCTGCCCCTCCCTCACCCTGCCTGGCCTCTGGGTGGTGTTTCAGCTGATGTAAGCAGGAGCCTATATCTGCTTCCTGCACCCTCCTTTTGGCGTGGGGGAGGACACCTCCCAGGATGATGAACCACATCTGTGTTCAGAGTGCATCCTTGGTTAGTGCCAGGTAGCCCTGCCCCAGCACTGGCATTCAGGTAGGCTGCCCATCTATTACTTGCCTGCCAGTCTAGATCCTGGGGACACTCTCTACACATTTTGATGGCATTTTTGTTTCTACCTGTCCAGAATATTATCTTGCTTCTAATCTGAACTTCTGCTCTCCACCTACCAACATCCTGGTAGACAAGGCGGTTGGGGAAGACGTGTCAGCCAGGGAGAGACAAGAAGGACGTTTTTCTTTTCTCTTTCTCTCTCTCTCTCTCTCTCTCTCTCTCTCTCTCTCTCTGTCTCTGTCTCTGTCTCTGTCTCTGTCATTATTAAGCCCAGCCTGCCTTCTACAACAGATAAGTTTTGGTTTTCTAAGAGCTGATGGACTTAGAAGCATTTGGATGAACAGCTCTGCTTAACAACTGAAATATCCCTATCATCTTCTAGGCTGGGCGTGGTGGCTCACGCCTGTAATCCCAGAACTTTGGGAGGCTAAGGCAGGCGGGTCACCTGAGGTCAGCCTGACCAACATGGAGAAACCCGGTCTCTACTAAAAATACAAACTAGCCAGGAGTGGTGGCACATGCCTGTAATTCCAGCTATCCTGGAGGCTGAGGAAGGAGAATCATTTGAACCTGGGAGGCACAGGTTACCGTGAACCGAGATCGTGCCGTTGCACTCCAGCCTATGCAACAAGAGCAAAACTCTGTCTCAAAAAAAAAAAAAAGAAAAGAAAAGAAAAGAATTAAATATCTCTATTATCTTCTAAATGTGGAATACTGGTTTGAGTCCTGGGAAGGCTTAAGGGCAACCAGCTCTCCCAAGTTGGTTTATCAGCAAAGAATGGATGGAATGTAGATGTAGCTCCTGACTTTAAGAGCCCAGAATGGAAGGGAGGGACTGTGTATACTTTTTCTATCATTTGAGGTCATGCGAAAGAGAGGAGGAAAAGGGGAAGAGTTTGTGTAGCCAGACTTCGTTACTTCACTTACCCCAACTTCACCTTGATCCTAGTCTGAGCCTCTCTGAAGGCTTAGAAATCCGGTAGACCCAAGAGCAGTGCCTATGGGAAGGCCTAGCTAGAAACAGTGTGGGCGAGCAGGAAGTACTGGAGATGAGGAGGCCATAATGTGGTTGAAACAAAACAAAACAAAAACCCTAAAAGACAAAACACTCATGAATAATAGTAAATTTAAAAAGACATACAGGCCAGGCACAGTGGTTCACTCCTGTAATCCTAGCACATTGGGAGGCCAAGGTGGGAGGACCGCTTGAGTCCAGGAGGTCAAGATTGCAGTGATCGGTGATCATACCACCTCACTCAAGACAGGGCAACAGAGGGAGACCCTGTCTCAAAAAATAAAAATAAAAATTTATAAAAATAAAAATAAATAAAAATTTATATAAAAAAAAAATTTATAAAGAAGACATACCAATTGATTGTATTTCACTCTTGCATCTTCTGTCTTCATTTAGCCTCTTGTCAACACTATGACCTTGCTTTGGGCTTTCACTCCTTTGTAAGCATGGACTCCAAACCTTGGCTAAATAATATCCTGCTCTGGGCTTCAGCTCTCGGGCCTGTAAAACGAGAGGGTTGATGTTCTTGATGAAACTCAATATAGTAAGAAAACTATATTGAAAAGGAGTCACATTTGACTCAGAGTCAAATACTTTCCAAAGAGAACCAGTCACTCAGGTTCTTCTGGCCTGAACCCTGAGGAGGCAGAAAAAGAGGAGCAAACTCAAATCTGCCATGGGGAATTCCCAGTTGATGCAGAAAACAAGATATTCTGAACCCAGACTAGACACGAGGGTAGACAGAGGTTGAACTTGGGTAAGTTGGAAATGGCTTGGGATGCCAGGAGGTCAGCTGTCAGCTGGAAGCCAGTCCTTGATTGAGTCTTGAGAAGTTGTTGAGAGCAAGATAAAGAGGGAGAAATTTGCACTAAAATCAAAGCATTCCTTGCAACACTTTTTGATTTTTCTGCAAGCAGTTGGATTTAATCTTCTGAGTAATAAGTAATAGCCGATGTGTCAAATAGCAAAATGTGTCAAATATCAAGCACCTGTTACGGATTAGAGACAGGGATGTAAGAAAGTGATTATCTCTCCCTTTATGGAGCCAACATTCTAGCAGTATGATCTCCTTTCATCTGTTCTACCCTTTAAGCAGGTTATTAGCATCTCTGTTTTAGAAATAAGGAAACAAGGCTCAAAAGAGATTGGTAAGTAGCAGAAATATGACTGAAACCCAGGTGTCCTGCCCCTGAACCCTAACCTCAGCCTGCTGCTTTACAATGTTCCTGATAAGCCACTCTCAACATCTGTGCCTCCCCCACTTCCTGCTGATCCTCTCTCAGGAGCAGAGCTCAGGGGTAGAAGCACATTTTGTTCGGGCATCCTCTGAAAAGCTGGGAGTGGAGGTCAGGTGACCATTAAACACAATGGGGATGACACATTCTTGGTCTGTTTTCCATTTCCCGGCCAAACTCAACATGAGACTGAATTTAAGCTGGCTTTATTGTGTGTGTGTGTGTGTGTGTGTTTTAGTATGATACATCTTCACATTTCAAACTATAGTAGTGCTTTCACCATCTGCTTGTGATTTCTCATGGCAAACCTCTCAGATCCCCCTGGAAGGGGCATTGTTTACCACTCCTTTGATGGTCTTCTCTGTTGACATCTACTCAACTTAAATCCCAGAGGATTTAATTCAACAAATATTTACAGAAAAACTCCTTTGTTCCGGGTACTGGGCTGGACCCAGCAGGGAATTTAGAGGTAGGAGACATACTTGCTTGCCAGAAGCTTACAATCTAGGTAAAATAATAATAATAATAATATAAGTGACTTGAGGGATGCAGGTTTAAAGGAATTCAGAGGACAAAAAGATTGGGGAGAATCAAGAGGTTTTATAGTGGAGGCTGAATTTGAAAGAGGAATTATGGATGATTAGTAGTTTTTCAGGCAAGTGGTCAGAGCATTTTAGCTGAGAAATGCCAGCATAAGCAGCGCATGAAGCCTGGAGTGAGAAATAACAGCTGAGCTGGAGCACAGGGAGTGGTCAGAGAAAAGGCTAGAAAAATATATTACGACCTTTTAAGGAAAGCTTACTTTATCATATATCCTAAAAATAAAGATTTCCGGCTGGGTGCAGTGGCTCACACCTGTAATCCCAGCACTTTCGGAGGCCAAGGTGGGTAGATACCTGAGGTCAGGAGTTTGAGACCAGCCTGGCCAATATGGCAAAATCCCATCTCTACCAAAAAGTATAAAAATTAGCTGAGCATGGTGGCGTGTGCCTGTAGTCCTGGCTACTTGGAGACTGAGGCAGGAGAATCACTGGAACCCGGGAAATGGAGGTTGCAGTAAGCTGAGATTGTGCCACTGTACTCCAGCCTGAGCAATAGAACTAGATAGACTCTATCACAAAATGAATAATAAATAAATATTTCCTACATAACACAATAAAATTACTGCACCTAAGAAAATTTTTAGCAAAATTTTATAATGTCATCGACTATCCAGCCCCTATGCAAACTACCCCAATCGAGGGGATTAACTGAAACATGATAGGTCTCAATCTCCCACCTTGTGCCTTGGCCTCCCAAAGTGCAGGGATTACTGGCATGAGCCACCGTACCCAGACGTAATTTTTTTTTAAAGCTCTATTTCCACCCCTAAACCTGATCTACTACAGGAAAGTTAAAATCAATCAATGAACACTGGAATATTTTTCACACAGGTTCACCAAGTGTTAACATTTTGCCACATTTGCTTTCTTGCCTTGCTCTGGCTGTTTCTCCTTAAATATCTGTATTCTAACTTAGCTGCCAGGCCAGGCACATTGGGGCAGAATTCTCAAAGCAAAATTTTAGGGATTAGCATTATATGGGCTTTCATTAGGAAGTGATCCAAAAGTAGGATTTATTCATTCTTTCAACAAACATCTGTTCAGCATCTGTGCACCCTGTTCCCTCAAGGGTCATTCATTGAGGAAGAACACCTATGACATAGTGTCAGTGCCCTAACATGTACCTGTTGCTTATGGCAACAGATTACTTCAGCTGCAGAGCACTGGGGTATGTTTCAGGGTGGTAACACACTTTCACTTTCCAAGTTGGAAGGTGGGGAAGTTTCTCACAGTACCCCCCGACCCCATACCCTCCAGGCCTTTTGGCCTTGAGCCTTTTGGGGATTGGGGAGACTGGTCTGCCCCAGTCATCCCCTACACTGACTCTAGACTCAGTTTTCTCTTTTCTATTTTTTCTATCTTCTCTACCTATGAAGAACCAAACAGGGGCAAAGGAAGGGAGGGGTAGCAGAAAGGAAGTTAAGAGCTGCACTTACCACTA